ACTGTCACATTTCACAGGTTTAGACTGTATGTGTTTTCTGCAAAACTTTCTCAGCTTCTTACTTCGCTGAGGAAATAGAAATCACTGAGCAGAAGATACACTCTACAGCAGCAGTAACTGACAAACTTGTCGTAAAAGTTCATCCACAAAGCTTATAATAAACAACAACTTCATAAAATCTGGTTTACTTTCACTTATTTCCCTCTAAGCTCTTTTTATAACCCATTCAGAGCAAAGACTTGTTGTTAAATCCAACAGCAAAGCTATGAAACATGAAATTTTACAATATTTCTCAATATTCCATATCACCTATGAGAGCATTGTGTATGAGCGTGTTTGTGTGCTTCCACTGCCACTCGCTGCTCTTGTCCACCATCTTCCTTTATCTTCTTTATCTCTCTCTCTTTCCCTATCGCTCTCTCCATTTCAATATTGAAGAGAGTTTTATTAAGGGCTAGACTCGGGTGTGCTGAGGCGCTCTCAGTAATTTTCCTACAAAGTGCTTTAATCCATCACACGGCCAACATGTGGCCTTTGCAGCCATACATCATCTCAGCCCGGGGAGAGAGAGGAAGGGAAAGAGAGGGAGTGGTAGCATAATTTCTGCTCTCCTCCTCCTCCTCCTCCTCCTCCTCACCCCCTTCTTCTTCTCCTTCTTCTCCTTCTTCATCTCCCGCCAGAGTTTCCCACCTGGGAGGGAAACCACATCTTCTCCACATATTCCTCAGTCAAGTCCTCTCTCCATTTACAAATGAGAGTGAGGCATGAGGGAGGACGGAGTGAGGGGAAGAGGGGGGCGGCGGTACGCAAAGAGAGAGAGAGCGAAAATGAAAGAGATGGAGATAGCCGTGAGTGAATGAGTGAGTGAATGAGTGTGTGAGGGAGAGAAAAAGAGATAAGGGAAATGGAGAAAAGCTTACTGGAATGAATTAAAATTGGGGACAAAAGCGGGTGAGAGGAAGTCAGACTGTGTGTGTGGGTGTGTGTGTGTTGTGCATGCTATATGCACAAGGTGTGTGCATCTGTACTTGCGCGAGGAAATAGAAATAGGAAGAGGAGTAGAGTTGGGGGAGAAAAAAAAAAGTGCTGCATTTCCCAGCATGCAGCTGGTGCAGCGTTGCCCTCTGTGTTGCCCCCGGCCAACACCTGCCTCCATTTCGCTCTCTCCACCCTCCTCGCGCCGAGGAGCAGCGGTGAACTCTGGGCCCCCTGACTAATGGAATGGGCCCTCTCTTCCAACCATTAGAGGATTGGTGTCCCTTTTCGCGCCCCTGGGTGCCCTACGGTACAGAAAAGGGAGAGGAAGGGGCGAGGGAGGAGATGGTTGCACGTTGGCCTTTTTCCTTTCGCCAGACACACACACACACACACACACCTGGCCATAACATAACAGCCTGAAGTAATCCAGCCAGAGTAAGGCTTGACATAGCTTAGCATCTGACTGAGGCTATTTCTGAGAGGATATTAGAAATTCTGAATTGGGTGCAGCGCTGCGAGGTTTCAGAGAAGAAGCTCTCTGAATGTGTACGACAGCGGCCCCGGCTGATCGTGGAGCATTTGTGTGATTTCATTTAGCCGGTAAATCCAGTGCTCTGCCTCAATTACATCTGCTTTACTTGGATGGAAAACACACCTCGTGAGTACAGAGGGAGGAAAGGGGAGTGGAGGGGAGGGTTGGGGAAGTGGGGGGAAGCGTGGAGCGGATTGGGGATTGAATCTCTCGATGAGCTGATAGCACGTCCGCAGACAGCGAGCCAAGCTGTGCTGTGGTAATGTTATGCTAATGATATGGTAATGATATGGTAATCTGCCAGCAGTATTCCACCTCACTGGAGAGAAGGGGAATCTGGGAGGCCTTTCACCATTGGTTGGAGACCGGGGACTTCCTGGTGTCAGAGTTCAAGACAAAAACCCTGCACGCACACACATAGGCACACACACACATACACACACACTTAATTCTTGAAGCAGTGATCTCAGCGAAAATAAAAACAATGCAACACATAGACCTAATCTGGCTTTAATCGGATTTGCAAACTCTTAAGTAAGCAAGAAATAATACCTGTAAACAATGCAGTATCATGTGATGTAACTTAAAACTAGGTCGGCTGTATTGTCAGCAAGCCTACAAGCTGAGGCTTCTTTTTAATCAGCGTGTAATATCAAGTCGCTGTGCTGTTGTTTTGTGCAGGCATAAAGTGAAACAGAAAATCATCTATTTTAGATCGCGATCAGGTTATTTCTTTTTTTCTTTGTCATTGTGTGTGAAACCCTGCACCTGTAATGGCTGCCATTACCTGCCTAGTCAGAGCATCTCTTTCTCTCTGGCTCATAATGATTGCATTAAACCAGCACATCCTTGGTTGGAGATGAGACTCGCCATTGTACGACAGTAATCTTTGAATCCACGTCAGTACTGCCACACAGCCGTAATAATTACAAGCAAGATATCCCTGGGTCGACTGCATTTGTTTATTTCTTTATTTAAATTTTGCTACATTTCACTGCATCATTGGAAATGAGCCGACCGATTTAAAAGGAATGCTGACAAACTACAAGCCGTCTTTAAACATGTCTAAATGAGCAAGGTGTGAGACAAGTGAAAGACAAATGTGGATAGATAAACTTCATCTCTTTGGCACATTTAAAAATCATAAAGACTGACAGGAAATGCTTCAATGCGTCTGCTACCAAAAGAGGCACCTGCAGAAAGGAACTGCAGTGGATCAGAGTAAATCTGCCCGTACGGCATAAAGACATCATCGTGGGTATTTTGCTTTGTTTTTCTTTGTATTGTACAGTTGCAAAATGGATATGTCAAGTCTGCACAATGGAGAGATGAGATGACATTTTCCTGGATGCTGTACACTAAATCAAAGAGACCAACAATATGTTGAGTGCCAGCGTGGAGACATTTGATTCCCATTCCACTCATGCGGCATTACCACTGGAATGCCAGCAGACATCACAATCCTCCCAAGCTGGCGTAGGGCTTGACAGACTTTTCATTCCACTTCAGTGTTTTTAAAAAATATATATATCACAGCAAATTGTCAAGCACTGGCTTCTTCTTGATATTACGATATTTACAATATTTGACTTAACAAAGGCGATTTAGTGTCAGTGACATTTAGCATCAGCCTCTGGCGACAGACAGGTAGAAGAAGCCCGTCAGCAGATTGGACCTGGGGGGGATCGTGAAAGTGGGGGTTGTCTGAGGCTTTTCTCAGGATAGACCTGGACACCTCATTAACACAAACATACTGACTACACATCCTTGACAATGAATTACTACAGAATCACACTGCAGCATCCTTTCACTGATTTCTACAACGCCATAGGATTCTTGCACCATTTCACAAATGTAAAGCCATAAAAACAACAGAAATAACTACAGTTATTGCAAATTTGTGTTTCATAGCACCGTGTTTATGCACACGTAAATGGGAAGATGTTTCTGCTTTTGTTTTGGTCATTACAAGTACATCGGGGGGACTGTCAGTGGTGTATAAAAGAGCAGAAAACAATGCAGGAAGAGGCAGAGGTGTTTGTGCGCATACATGAGGGACAATGAGAGAGAGACAGGCAGAGAGGAAGACAGAGACGGGGGTGGACTGTCCAATACACTCCTGATAAAGGTCAAAGAAATGTTTTATTCATGATCCAAGCAGCAGCAGCAGCAGCAGCAGCATAGGCAGCAGGGCCAAGGTTGAAATGAGCTTGTGTCCCCGCTCCCCAGGGCCAACGCAGCACACAGCCTCACACCAGGCCAGCGGACACTCCTTCTAACTCTTATCAATAATGTCAAAACACACACACACACACACACACACACACACAACTCCTGTATCACTTATCAATAACTTCATATCACAGTTTTTTGATTGTCTGCTGTGAGCAAAATCGATGCTGAAATGTGCATCTGCCGCCAAAGAACAAAGTGCAATACGCTTTAAATGAATGAAGTGAAACTAAAACCTTTTATGGGGACTCTTGGGAGATGTCATGTGGGCTTTTCTCACCTGTAGGGCTCTTTCTATAACCAATTATAAACACAACTATGAAAATGAAAAACATAATATCTAAAAAAAATCAAGATGGATCATGCTCACTGTATTTAAGGTCAGGCACTTACGCTATCTGGGTGCTTTACCAGCAGAAATTTCCATGATGGATTGCTTACACAGTGTTTGTTATCAAATAGTACATTCTATCCCAAGAATCTGTGTTGATTCTTTGAAAAGAAGAACTTAAATAAAAGAATCCCTTTTTAAAAATCCTGAATGTAGCAGAGCACAGCAGGAACGGATGTCAATTCATGAGGGCTCTTACCTTTTAAATCTTTCTGGCTGTGAACCTTTCATAAAAGAGAATCAGAAGAAGTTCATTTCAAAATATGTTATGCCCTTGAACAGCCTCTTTGAACTCGCTCCTACAAAAAAAAAAAAAAGGACTGTATTCCACCTATCCAAGACCTGCTCCGAGCCCCTATTTTTTATTGCAGCCGAGAACATTTTTTGAAGGAGCTGACACACTTTCAGGCTCAACAACCAAAGTAACCTTTAAAGTATTGATGTGGATAAATCACATCTAGTCTTCTGACAAATGGAAAGATTTCAGCATGACAGATTAAAACTCAGGCAAATAGGTAAAGACCCAATCATCTCCAAAGACATTCAACTGCAGCCAATTCCACATACAGGAATTTTGCACGTGCGTAAACTAAGGTGTGTGTATATGTGTGCGTGTGTTCCTTTCTATGTGTCTTTTCATATGTGTGTGTCACTCTCTGTGGACGGCCTACTGTATGTGTCTTTGATCAGATAGGAAATATTCAGAAACGCTGCTGTAATTTGATGAAAGTCAGATATCCCTCAAATAGGAAAGTGAAGTCAGCACTTTGGCAGCTCTTCAAAAAAATCTCAGGAACCAGATTTAGCAAATGTAAACTTCAGGCTCATATGTGGAGACAGCAACAGGGGTTTTAAACATGCACTGACCCGTTGTACGAACTCCAGCCTGTGCTGGTCCGCTAGAGCTCTGGCGGCTTTGATGCCTCCGTCCATTTGCACTGCATAGAAGACATGGCGGTTGGTCCCACGATGCCCCTCTGTGGTCACTAGTTTCCTCTGCAGCAGGCAGGCGAGCACCAGCACAACCGCTCTGAACATGGAGCCTTTAAAAGGAAGATAAAGGAGAAAATGACTGACTGGTTTTAAAATTATTAGATGTATTAACTAATCTTTTCACAGATCCATGTTAATAATGTATGTTTTAGGACACTATGTCAGTCTTAACCCACATTCCTGCATTGTAGAATGATGTTAGTGTGTTTTAGGAGTAAAAGCAGTGTGGCCGCCTAATGAAAGCCTTCCACAACACTGATGCACATTAACATCCCACAGTGAAAAAAGTATGTTAGCAGAGCTGCAACTAATGATTATTTCATTTTCCATTCATCTGCTGATTTTGTGGTTAATTCATTTTTCATATTGTCTATAAAAGCCACAAAATGTGAAAATATGCCCAACGTGACATATTAAAACAGCTGGTTTTGTCCAACCAGCAGTCCAAGAGCCAAAGAGATTCAATTTACTATCATATATGACAAAGAAAAACATTAAATTCTCACATCTAAGAAGCTGGAAACCGCTACTGTTTTTTCATTTTCGCTTGAAAAAAGGCTGAAGCAATTACAATAATCAAAATAGCTGCACATTCTTTTTTCAGCTCTACATGTCAGACATCATTTAACTTTTAAAAACTGACACACAGCAGTATTCAGGACCCCACTGTATATGCTCTCCCTCCATTGGTTCTTCATAATGTCTAAAAACTCACATTATAAATATCGACATTAGAAAAACACAAACACCTACGATTTTAAACATTACCATAACACTCCAAATACCATCTAACTACACACATGAGTTTATAGAGTGTGGGATTCAGCATCTCAGCGCAACAGTATTGAACATTGGCAATTGTGAAACAATTTGCCCACAGCCACCTCCTCTGTACTTTTGCATGAAATCCACAGTGGCTGCCACCTACAGCATGTGAACCACCCACCTGTAGCCACGGAGAGTGAAACGTCCAGGAGAAATCTTTCACCCAGTGCGATGAAAGCTAGAACTCTGGCATCGGGGGCCCCAAGCGAGACAACACACTCTCTCCAGTTCCCAACCCACACGTTTAATCTCCTGGCCTTGATGCAAATGCTTCTGAGAGCAGAAAAACAGCGGCGCTCTCATTGTGTGAACTAACTTCCCTCTTTAAGCAAAACAGGAACTTTATCAGTCTTTTCTCTATGCCTGCGCTTTCCTGTGAACGATGATGGAACAAAAAGTTGTCACTTCACTCTTCTCGGTATCTACTCAACAAGAAAAATACCCAATGTACTATTGAAGAGCATTAATTGCTTAGACTCCCACTCCTTCCCCCAGATTATGTAACTAACATTTACTGTCAATTTCTTTATATACAGTATATACATCACTTTATATTGAATGCAATTAGCAAAGAAATTATGCAACCAGCTGTATTCAGTCAGTTCTTTTTCCCATACACACAGCTCCTCAACATTAAAAGACTGCATCAAATTCAGGCTGCAACTATTAGTCCATCAATCGATTAGGCAATTGGCAAGAAAATTCATATGCAACTATTTTGAGCGTCTGTTGTTTAAGTCACATTTTAGGCAAAAGTGTTGCTCTGTGATGTTCTGTGGTTCCAGCTTCTCAAATGTGAACATCTGCTGTTTTTGTGTTAGTCTTGAACTAAATATTCCAGAGTTTTAGACTGTTGGTCAGACAAAACAAGCTATTTGAATATGAAAACTTGGGCTTTTGGACATTTTTTACCTCTGACATTTTACAAATCAAACAATTCATCATTTAATTGAGAAAATAATCAGCAGATTACTTGATAATGAAAAAAATTGCTCAGTCTTACATCTAATCATCGTTATGAAACCTAGTGTCTGCAATCTTTGTACTTCTTGGGTCTATTTGGGCACTTTTATGCCCAAAAACACCCACTAACATACAGTAAAGCTCAAAACTGGAAGATTAAGATCTCTCACTCTATATATAATTCTGTTTGTATGTTTATCTGACTTCCCTTCAAAAGCAAAGTGCCTCCTCCTGCAGCATTTTCCCCCCAAACAACAAACAGTGCAGCTGACCACCGTTTAAAGTCTACAGCATCATTCAGCTCCAATCTCCCAAGCCGCTGATTGAAATCAATAACCTCACTTGGGGCTCGGGCCCCAGTCAATCCCACTGGAGGTGCAGGGCCGGCAGCGTACACCCCACCCAGCGAGGAGCGGGCCTCGGGCAGAGATGGAGTAGACAGGGAGGGCGAGAGGGAGGGAGAGCACATGAGACTGGAGTACAGGAGAGCCACACTGAACAGTGTCAGGGCCTCGGGGCCTACTGGGACGCTGATAAAGTACCTGGACATTTTTATAGACAAACTACTTATTTCCGTCCTCATATCGCTTGGGAAGACTGATAACTTTATATTCCTCTCAGGCAGAGGAATGAAAGGAGGGGGGGCCCTTTCAGGAGTTTAATTGATCAAACTGTAGCCACAAGGGTTTTTTTCTGGAGATAAAAGGGACTAGCACTCTCCCCTGTACAATGCAGAGATCTTTTAGAAAGCAGACCCGATGAAAAAAGAGAATGTAACTCATTATGCAAAGTCATTACAGGCCTCTGACTACACTCCTTAAAGAGAGGGAGTTAATGGCGGAATTGTATGGTACAGGATTTCCAGAGGTCAAACTACCGGTCATAGGATAACATTATTTTACAGTGTCCAGATTATTACTCTAACCAAACTTATAGATGGCTGTTTTGAAGTCAAACTATCTTAAGTGTCTGACAACAGTAAAATATAATTTTATTGCTGCTCACAGGACAGCTTGCAAGGGCACGGGAGTCTCAATGTCAGCAAGCATTTTCAATAGAGTAGAATAGAACTTAAAATTTCCATCAGAGCAGAAAATATGTCTTTGTCTCACCTGTCAAGGCAATAAATACAGTAAGAACAATGTGTTTTTACTTGTTGGTCAGTAAAAACTAGAATTACTGGCTCGCAGTTGTATGTCACCAACCACTAAAGTTGCAGTTTACATCCATGTCTACTCCGACATTGCCTCAAATATGAATGTTGGCGTAAATAAGCTACATATTCTAAAACATGGATGCTTCATACACATCTTCAGCCCAGCAGCCCAGAAGATCTATAAAATCAGCAGAGTTTAAGGATGGGCACTCAAGATTAGTGTCACCATTTCAGTAGTTGACCAAGTGCCTCCCCTTCTGTTCCTGGGATATGGTGTTAAATAATGTACAGAAAAGTGTTGCTGCAGAACATTATAATGTCACAGTTAAGTTGAACTTTGACTTTTTGAATTTAAAATGCAATCACTTGATTATTCAGATCTATGAGACAGTGTGAAATATTGTCAGTTTGCATATGAATTCTTGAGTTATGGCCAAAAACATGTTTTGTGAGGTCATGATGACCTTTGACCGCCAAAATGCAATCACTTCATTGTTGACTTTGAGTGGACGTTTGTGCCAAAGGAAACTCCCTTAAGGCCATCTTGAGATATCACATTTACAAGAATGAGATGGATGCAAGATCACAGTGACCTTTGACCACCAAAATCTAATCAGTTCATCCCTAAGTCCAAGTGGACGTTTCTGCTAAATTTAAAGAAATTTACTCAAGGTGTTTAGGTGTTGTCTTTAGATATCATGTTCATGAGAATGAGACGGACAGACGGACAGACGGACAACCAGAAAACAAAATGGCACTGGCATGAAGGCACAAAAATGATCACAACATGCCTCATAAGTCATCAGTAATACAGGAAAGTATGTGAACAAGTTGTTACAGGTAATTGAAATCTTCAGGCACAGGGACATTTCATGTTGTAAGTTTATAGTGATTGCATAAAAAAACAAACAAATCCTTTACATACATTATTGTTTACCAAATATGTTCTATAGCGTTGTTCAGAAGGCATTACCTCACATTCAGAGTTGAGGGGGATTCAGTGTCATTAATATACAAAGCTTTCCTGTACCCAGCAACATTACACAGTGCATCTTGTGATTTTTGTCGGTGCCCTACAATTCTCTCCATCAAACAACTTTAGTTAACTTGTTTTTGACTGCCACAGTCAGGTTAACATACCAGACTGGGATATAATGCAATGTATTTGAGCAGTCATTGAGCGAAGCACAAATACTCACACCATATTGTTCAGATAATTATAAGCAACCACGTCAGAAAAACAGTTCATGTCAGCTTCATAGTTGTAATTGTAAATCAGATATATTGGGAATTTCTGACAGCACCAATGTCTCCCACTTGTTGAAGAGAACTGCGACAGTTCTACAACTGAATCAAAGCCAATATCAACACTAATAGCATCAATTACTCTAATTTAAAAGGAGGCAGACGTTGTATCTGATATAACGTGTTAATAAGCTCTTCCAAATATGCTAGCACAGCAAAAGTAGCTAACTTCGGCATTTTATTGATGTAACTACAAAGTTACCACCAATGCTTCCATTTTGGAAGGATACATGAATTGTTAACATTCTGCAAACAGTGCAGAAATGCAGCACAAAGCCCTACTAGCAGCTGTTCTGGAGGTGGCCATAGCCCATGGCCATGGGTGGGGGATGAGGGGCCAAAGAGAGGTGATTCACATACACAGGTATTATTAGTTATTTGAACAGATTAGACCTCAACTCATGGCAGTGTGGGTGTTTACAAACTGTGCTTGATTATCATGTCTGTGACTCCATCTTAGCTTTGTTACACCTTCTAGCAGGATAATTAATACCTTTTTGATGCTGAACGCCTTTTTCCAAAGGCCAATCGACAGATAAAGGAAACTTCACCTGCACTGGCTGGTGTTGCTTTATGAAGTAAGTACGCCGCAGGTAGCTAGAAAGGGCTATGTTAGCGACCAGTGTTTTCAGGTAAGCTATTTAGCCACTCAGTCCTCAGATTGCTGCGCGGATGTTAGCCCAATCAGTACCCTGGACCGACATGGACACACTCACATCTTAATTGGTAATGTGAAAAGTAAAATGGGAAATGCTGCTTGGTTTAAAATATAATGTATAAGGGTCAAGGTTCACTTATTGTTTTACTACAACTTTACTAGGGTGCACAACAAAATGCAAATTGTTGTCCCTGTATGCTACACAAGAAATCAATCGTGAATTCGAAATAGCTGCGACCCCATTCACTCATGCATTCACATACATTCACAAATGCTTGAACAAATTGAGCATTGACAAAAACACAAAAGGTGCCAATAAAAAAGGGAAAAAAAGTTACATTTTAAAGTGCAGTATTCTACAGATTGTCTTTCAACAAACTCATAAAATCCCTGACCGCCATATCGTAGTCTTTCGCAATGTGTTTATTGCGCACGCTGACACCGCAATGACAGTAAAAAATATTGTGCGGCCCTACTCGCTATGATGTGGGGAAGTGGCAAAATGGTATTTGGTGCTTGTCTATCTGTCTATTTGTGTGTGGTGTGTGTGTGTGTGTGTGTGTTTGTCTGTCTGTCTGTTTGTGTGTGTGTGTATTTCTATAAAGTTTGGTCTTGTGTGCATCTGTTTCATTTGGCAGTTTTTGTTATAGGCCCCTCCCACTTATAGAACACACCTTCACACATACACAAATTGATTCAAATTCAACCTCTTTTGTGGCAAAAACTAGCTGCGGCAAAAACCCCCAACATTTTTACGATGGAATATGGAGGATGGGGTGGAGTCGAGGAGTCTTGCAACCTGAGGAAAGAAGCTGCTCTGTAGTCTGGTGGTACAACAGCGGATACTTCTGTATCGCTTGCCAGACAGCAGTAGGGTGAACAGGCTGTGGGTATTGTCTTTTAATATCCTTTGGGCTCTGTGTAGGCACCTCATCTCACTATTATCACTGACGCTCAGTAAGTGGGTACCAACGATATTCTGGGCAGTTTTACTCACCGGCTGCGGAGCCCTCCTATCCTGGGCTGGGCAGATTAAATGCCAATTTGTAATGTTTCCAGTCAAGATGCTTTCTGTTGCTCCTCTGTTAAGGTCGGCTAAAACTTAGCGGGGAAATTTAGCTGTCTTAACTTTCCTTACAAAACACAGCCATTTCTGAGCTTTCGT